GTATGATTTCTATATATGGCTATCAAGTAAAGGCACTGTTTGATTTGAGTGCCATATATTCCTTTGTGTTTGAAGAGTATGTGGATTGGTTGAATTTGCCTTTGCAAGAGTTACCCATTTTCATTAGAGTAACTATGCCTTCTAGATCGTCTAGGCAGAGATTTGATTTAAGGGTAGAGTTTCCAAGGTTGATATGATTTGCATTCCTATAAAGGCAATTGATGTAATTATTAGCATAGACTGGCTAGCAGTGAATAGTGCTATACTTGCTTGTACTAGAAAGAAGGTTTCATTACCAGTATTGTCTGTAGTAATGGATTCTTCTGAGCAATTCAAGTTCTTATTTGTAATTAGTACCAGAAGTTGATTCGGCAAGGTTGTGATGCGTACATGGTGTTCTTTGCTTCTAGTATAATTTATGACAAGGGAATTAAGAAGATTGGGGTATTGAGTGAGTTTCGGAGGTGTTTTCAGATAAAGTGACCATATTACCTCCTGAAAGAGAAGTGGAATTCTCAATTGATTTGGTTCCTAGAACTGAACTAATATCAAAGGCCCCGTATTGAATGTTGCCATCAGAATTGGCAGAATTAAAGAAGCAGATTGAAGACCTTATTAAACAAGGGGCTTATGAGACCAAGTGTGTCACCTTGGGGGTTGTTAGTGCTGTTTGTAAGAGAGAAGGATGATAACCTACATATTTATATTGATTACCGACAATTGAATAAGTAACTATGAAGAACAAGTATCCTTTGCTAAGGATAGATGATCTTTTAAATCAATTGGCTGGTGCCTCAATCTTTTTCAAGATAGACTCGAGGTCACGGTATTATCAGTTGAGAGTTAGTACAGCAAATGTGCCCAAGATAGCTTTCAAGATGTAGTATGGTTATGTCGTTTGGTTTGACAAATGTGCCTGCATTGTTCATGGATTATATGAACTGGATATTTAAGCTATACTTGGATTAGTTTGTTGTAATCTTTATTGATGACATCTTGATCTGTTCTTAGGATGAGGAGTAGCATGCGAAGTATTAGGGACTGTACTCCAAATTTTGAAAGATAAGAAGTTGTATGCCAAGCTTTGTAACTCTGTGTTCTGGCTAAGAGAAGTTAGATTTTTAGGGCACATAGTGTCAGCGGATGGGATTTCTATGGATTTACATAAGGTTAATGCAATGTTGAAGTGAGAATGACCCAGTTCAATCACAAAGATATACTATTTTACCAGATAGCATCTCCTTTAACTAAGTTGACACAGAAGGATCAACCTTACATTTGTGATGTTTGGTGTGAGGTGGCATTTTAGAAGTTAAAAGAGAAGTTAACCACAGCATCAGTACTAATTATCCCTAATTCGAGGTTACTGTATGAGGTGTATACTGATGCATTATTGAGAGGCCTAGGATGTGTCTTGATGCAAGATTATCAAGTGTACGTATGCATCTTGATAGTTGAGACTGCATGCAGAAAATTATCCTGCTCATGATTTAGTACTTGCAACCATGGTGTTGGCTCTAAAGATTTAGAACCATTATCTCTATGGTGTGGTATTCACTGTGTTTAGTGACCACAAAAGTTTGAAATACTTGATGGATCAGAAGGAGCTGAACATAAGGCAGAGGAAATGGATAGACCTTATTAAAGATTACAATTTTGAGCTAAAATACCATTCGGGCAAGGCAAATGTAGTTGCTAAGGCTTTGAGCTAGAAGACTTTGCATATGGCAAGTCAAATGGTATAGGAGTATAGATTGATGGAATCTTTCATAGAATAACAGCAGGATGTAGCACTGAAGGCATTGGTTAGTGACTTTTCCACTATGAACAATAGTGACTTTTGGAAGGAATTGAGGAGGGCACAGTTAGAAGATGAATGTCTTCTTGGGATTAGAGCAAAGATTGAAGTAAAGTAGGCCAAGGATTTTAGTTTCAATGACAATGGCTTTGTAGTTTATCAAGACATAATTTGTGTGCCTGATAATGCAAAACTAAGGAAGATAATTTTAAATGAGGCACATTGCAGTAAATATACAATCCATCTGGGAGCTATGAAGATGTACCAAGGTGGTATTGGTATGGCCTAGTATGAAGAGAGATGTTACTGACTTGTGACTCAGTGTTTAACTTGTCAGAAGGTTAAGATAGAACACTAGAGACTAGCAGAAATGTTGTAATCACTGGATATCCCTAAGTGAAAATGGGATAGTATATCTATAGATTTTGTATCTGGGTTACCAAGAACTCGGTCAAGGCATGATGCCTTTTGGGTGATAGTTGATAGGCTTATGAAATTAGCTCATTTTCTAGCAATTCAGATTAGTGATTTTTTAAAAAAGTTGGCAGAAATCTATATCTAAGAAGTTGTGAGGTTGCATGGAGTGCCAAAGAACATTGTATCAGATAGAGATCTAAGGTTTATATCTAAGTTTTGGGGAATGTTGCAACAAGTTATGGGTATTGAGTTGAGATTCAGTATAGCTTATCATCCTCAAACGGATGGATAGACAAATCATACTATACAGACTCTAGAAGAAATGTTGAGAGCCTGTGTATTAGGTTGAAGGATAGCTGGGATAGCCATATTCCTTTGGTTGAGTTTACTTACAACAACAATTACTACTCTAGTATTCAAATGACACCTTATAAGGCATTGTATGAAAGAAAGTGCATATCACCCTTGTGTTGGACAGAGCTGAGTGAGAGGCGTTGGAAATTGTGCCCTAGAGCCAATCATTGTACCATGCACATTGTTATTTAATGAATTTCTCTTTTGTTATCATATAATGCATGTTCAATATCATAACTGTATCCTTAGACAAACTATAGTGATTGTCCTAAATGTCCCTAGTTGGTCACCTATGTGGGATCATAGATGAAACAAGACTAGTATGACTTTGATTAATTATAGAGATATAAATCAAAGTCATAGGCACTTGAAAGAGCATAAGGTGTTGGATCGACCTGTTATGAGAAAGTTGTATGGTACAAGTCAAAATCTTATCTCATATGTAACTATATTACTAAGCCCTTTGACCTGAGATCATCATGAATTCCTACATAATGACCACTAAACTTTAACCTAGTCAAAAGTCACCTTTAACCGGGTGATCATAAAGGCTATGATTGAGTTTAGTGATATTCATGTAGAGGAATATGAGTGGTCAAAATGAAATTTGTCCCTACATTAAGTGAGAGATATTACTGGGCCCTTAATGAGTAAGACAGAGAAAATGTCTGGCCATGCTACAATGGAAAGGTTTTTTCATTGTTACTGTCAGTCTACTCAGAGATTGAGAAAGTAATGATCAGGTAAAGGAAAATGACAATTCCATGTCTCATACTTGACCAAAATATCACGTGACAAAAGGGATGTGATACAGTTGCATGATAGGTTACATCAAATCATCGATCCTCATGTGAATTGGGTAGTTGCAATGTCTTGCTAGAGGCCACTTGTGACTTGTGGGCTAAGAGTATAATTAGCCTACTACCAATTTCATATGGGCTTATATTATCGCACACAAGAACAACCTAACTCAAGCTATAATGTCCAAGTGCTATTTGATGATTGTTTTGACACTTTCATATCCTAAATTGAGATCTTGGGCATTAATTCTCTTCTTTTCCTTTTTATTTCTTTTTGTTTAGAATTTATTTACTCTTGTGTTTTTATTTTCAAATTTTGTGAGGGCAATTTTGGAATCAAGGATCAAAGGCCAGTCCACATGCTTGGAGAAATTCAAGAGATAGCAAATAAATAAAGATGAAGAATTTAGGGGCTGTTGGGCGCAAATTCCAGAATTATTTGAGGGATGATATAGCACCATTATTCAGATTTAATTGGGGAGAATTAATTAAATAAAAAATCAAAGGAGCATGGAAAGCATTGAGGGACACATCATCAAGTAAAAAAGGGGCATGGGAGGTGTGACATGATCAGATCTAATTGGATGACATGTGGTAGCTGATTGGGAGCCTAAGGAGGAGTCACATTTCCCATACATGTTCACATGTCCCTTGCCACATTTTCCACCTCATTTTTATTCCCATTTTAACTTATTTTCGTCCATTTTTCCAGCTCATTTCAGATCTGGACCTTTCTTGTTTTTATCACCATCCACTTTGGTTTTATCACCACTCACATTTTCCACACATACTTAATCCTTCATTTTTCATTTCATATTCATTCTTCACCTTCACTTGTCAGATTTTTCCAGATTTCTCTCTCTTCTTCTTCATTCATTTTCGTCCAGCACTGTTCATCCGTTTTTTAGATTTCATTTCTTCATCTTCCATCATCAACACTTGGTCCAGATCATCATTCCTTCTCTATTCAGATTTTTGTCCACTTTCTTCTCCATTCCAGCTGGCATTTTCGTCCATCTCTTGTCCAGATTTCCAGATTGCAACTTCTTCATCTTCATTCATCCATGGAAGCTTCTCAAGCTCAAGGTCTAATTCAAGCAAAGAGGAAGAGCATGAGAGGCTGATCATTTAGAGCTCCAAGAAAGATGACTTGACATTATGAGATTTCCAGATTTGTAATTGTTGTTCATTTTCTTGATTTCATGTTCTTGTCTTGATTCTTTGAGGATTTCGAATTTTGAACCTGTTTTGGTTGAAGACTTTGTGATTCTAATTCAGATTTGATGAGAATATGAATGTTGAATTTAGATTTTCATGCTATTTTCAGTTCTGGAATTTATGATTTACCTTGATGTTTTAGGGTTATTTCATAAGTTCTTGCTGATTCTTGTTCAAGTTCTTGTGTAGACTTGAGTTAGATCCATATTGGTTATATAAATTTGACTTAAGCTGTTTTTCTTCCACTAGTTTTGGTCTGAAACTTGTGTAGAACAAGGCTGAATATAGTGTTAATTTGATGATTGTTTTGACACTTTCATATCCTAAATTGAGATCTTGGGCATTAATTCTCTTCTTTTCCTTTTTATTTCTTTTTGTTTAGAATTTATTTAGTCTTGTGTTTTTATTTTCAGATTTTGTGAGGGCAATTTTGGAATCAAGGATCAAAGGCTAGTCCACATGCTTGGAGAAATTCAAGAGATAGCAAATAAATAAAGATGAAGAATTTAGGGGCTGTTGGGCGCAAATTTCAGAATTATTTGAGGGATGATGTAGCACCATTACTCAGATTTAATTGGTGAGAATTAATTAAATAAAAAATCAAAGGAGCGTGAAAAGCATTGAGGGACACATCATCAAGTGAAAAAGGGGCATGGGAGGTGTGACATGATCAGATCTAATTGGATGACATGTGGCAGCTGATTGGGAGCCTAAGGAGGAGTCACATTTCCCACACATGTTCACATGTCCCTTGCCACATTTTCCACCTCATTTTTATTCCCATTTTAGCTTATTTTCGTCCATTTTTCCAGCTCATTTCAGATCTGGACCTTCCTTGTTTTTATCACCATCCACTTTGATTTTATCACCACTCACATTTTCCACACATACATAAGCTGAATTTTCAGATGAGAGCCTTATAATTCAGATCCCACTCTCTCACTTCAGCCATATTTCTCTCTCTTCTTCTTCATTCATTTTCGTCCAGCACTGTTCATCCGTTTTTTAGATTTCATTTCTTCATCTTCAATTATCAACACTTGTTCCAGATCATCATTCCTTCTCTATTCAGATTTTTGTCCACTTTCTTCTCCATTCCAGCTTGCATTTTCGTCCATCTCTTGTCCAGATTTCCAGATTGCAACTTCTTCATCTTCATTCATCCATGAAAGCTTCTCAAGCTCAAGGTCTGATTCAAGCAAAGAGGAAGAGCATGAGAGGCTGATCATTTAGAGCTCCAAGAAAGATGACTTGACATTATGAGATTTCCAGATTTGTAATTGTTGTTCATTTTCTTGATTTCATGTTCTTGTCTTGATTCTTTGAGGATTTCAAATTTTGAACCTGTTTTGGTTGAAGACTTTGTGATTCTAATTCAGATTTGATGAGAATATGAATGTTGAATTTAGATTTTCATGCTATTTTCAGTTCTGGAATTTATGATTTACCTTGATGTTCTAGGGTTATTTCATAAGTTCTTGCTGATTCTTGTTTAAGTTCTTGTGTAGACTTGAGTTAGATCCATATTGGTTATATAAATTTGACTTAAGCTGTTTTTCTTCCACTAGTTTTGGTCTGAAACTTGTGTAGAACAAGGCTGAATATAGTGTTAATTTCTAAGTTCACTTGACCTAGATTCATTAGTGTCCATTGAGTCTAATGGTGCACCACACTTAGAGGTTTCTAAGTGTCTCATTTTAGGTTAATCAAGAAGGTTTATGATGTTATAATTATGGAAATCAATGATTAATGTTAGGAAATCTGACTTGGGCTCACCATAATCATCATTCATTTCATTCCCACTAAAACAGAATTTTACAAACATTTATTGTTGCATTATAGAGTTAGTTTAGTCACTTGAAAATTCAGATTAATTTGTAAGCATTTGAACAATGATTTGTATGCTTTGCTCTCTTGGGAAATGACCTAGAATACTCACTTCTACATTCTAGTAAAATTTGATAACCCAAGGCGACTAAAGGCGACTAGGAAAATGACCTAGAATACACCATGCTGGCTATAAAGAATACCATATAGGTATCACAACCTTGTTAGATCAACTTCTCAGTACTCACCACCGATAGAAATTTAAGTTGCTCTGAAAATTTCATAGCTGCACACAACATTGGCAAGGAAATTACTCTTTTGGCGCAATCAAGCATAGCATTATTTGTTACTAGCCAATCCATGCCAATTATCACATCTATTCCTCTCATAGGAATACAAATCAGATCGATCTTGGAAACTTTGTCCTCAAATCGAATCTCCACATTATGACAAGCTTGACTTGTAATACTAGTCGATCTAAAAGGTGTCGTCACTTTAATGAACATATGTAATTCTTGTAAAGATAATTCTAACCTATCCACACATTCCTTAGACACAAAAGAATGGGTGGCACTAGAATCAAACAATGCTTCTACTTTGTGACCATTTACAGAAATCATACCTCTGATCAGATTTGGAGATGCTTTGGCCTCGTCTTGCGTAACTGTGAATACTTAGCCAAGAACCATCGATCTCTGCTTAGTCCCTTCAACTCCGCCCTCTAGGCATTGTCTCACTATATGTCCCAACTTACCATACTTTTAGCAAACCCAACTTCTTCTTGAATGAAATTTGCCGTATATGTTGCATTGGGGCATCCTTCCAATACTTAAAGTGGGAGTTGGAACATTCGACGCTTTCCTTGAAGATTGTGGAGGCCCAATTCTCACACCTCTACCCCTCTGCATTGACCCTCTAGCACAGGTTGAGATTACAATCCTCGACTGAAACCTCTCCTTCCAGAAGAACTGGAACTGCTTGGACTAAACCCAGTCCTCTTTGAGATTCCACCAATCGAACCCATATGAAATGAAAATCTTCCCATACTATCTCGCCTCCTTTCAGCATTTGCCTCTCTACCATGCCTAGCTGCTACCCTAAGCTTGTGGCACATCTCCTCATATGTCGTCACATCAAGTAGTACTATCTGTTGTCGATATTCAGGTCTCATCTTTTCAAGTAACCTCTTAGCTTTCCACGTCGAGTTATTACTATGTTGAATATACGTGGAATAAGCTGATTAGTCATTGAATCTTCTTATAAATTCTTCCTCGTCCAGATCTCCCTGCCTAAAAGTAAATTCCTCTTGCTTCTCAATTCTAAGTGAGACTGGAAAGTATTGATCAAAGAATATTCTCTTGAACTCATCCCTGCTCAAACGAATACCACCAGTTGGTCTCATAGATTCCCACCATCTCTTAGCAATACTAACCAACTGCACCGTGGCCAAGATAACTTTCTGCTTTGAACTACAGATCACTACCTCAAAGATGGTTTCCATTCATTCTATCTATAATTCTACTTCACCTTCTCTCATACTTTCGTCAAATGTTGGTGGATTGAACCGAACAAACATCTTCCAAGCACGATTAATAGATAGATCAGTGCTAATTTGGTCCATTACCTGAATTTCTAGATGGTCCAGGTCTACTATGTGCTTCTTGCACTGGGATATTTTGATCTTTCACTCTCTCTTCTTGCTCTCTACCCCTTAGGATTGTGTCATTATCCTTAACAGTTTGTCTTATGTCAACAACCATATCCCTGAGCTCTTCTAGTAGCTCATCATGTCTATCCCTTTGTGGCTGAACCGGTTGAACTTTTGACTCCCATACCTCCTCTACAACCCGTCTAGATATTATGATTCTCGCACGAGTGCCTCTCATACTCTACTATTTTCTCCCTTCTTAAAGACGAAAATAGGAAACACAAAGGGCATCAGGGAAAGAGTTGTGTAATAAATAAGTTGCCATATTTCTAAATAAATGCATTAATAAAAATTAGGTCTTGAAAACTGAGAAACTGATACCAAAATGTAACCTCCTCCTATATTTACTTAATATAGAAGAAGATTACAGTGTTACCACTACCTCAACTCAATCTTTTTATCAAATTTCATTTTGAAAGCTTTGGCCAAAGACTTACTTTATGAAATCAATTAAATCTGAATTCAATCAGAGAAAATATAGTGGAGATAAACCATATACTTTCCAAATACATAGTAGACATAACCTACTAGAATTTCTATCTCAATTGCATGTAATTCAACACACAAATAAACTAAATTTTAGTCCATGTGTCATGGCGGACAGTCAGTGCACCGCAGCATGTGGCACAAAGCCACACGCTCATCCTGTCTGTGTTGTGCACTGCAACATATGCCTCCATGTGTCACGACATGCCTATCCATTTTTCTGTTGTCATTTTGGCAACAAAAATGATGAACTCCTGACGTGCACCAATTTCTCATATGACATCTGATTGGAGTGATTCAAGCGCCCACATGAAGCTTAGCTCATATACTAACTAATGAGATAAGTTTGAACATGATCTAATAGTCCGATCAAAATTTAGACACCCGAATGCAAAAAGTCACTTTTTCTAAAAATTTTGCGCACCCAAGCACTCAAATCGATCTCTTTCTCTCATTAGACCACACTAGGCCTTGAATCAAGTCTAAAAGGATCTAATACACCTGATTAACCACAATTAATCATAATCACACTCATATATCAAAATTTGACCCTTCTACGGCCAATTTTCATGATTTACTAAATTGACATATTATGCTATTTCTTAGCATAACTTAGCCCATTCGGCTATTTCTCAACTCATACATGACAAACATATGCAATCATGTTCATAATACAATCTTAGCCCCCAAATTACTCATTTCATCATAATTTTGGCTTTTGCTTAAGATTCACCAACTCATACAACCAATTCAACACAAAACATACTCAAATTAAAGCCCCTTTGTTTCAAACAACACATATACACATAATCAGGCTTGATTTCACCAAAACTCAATCCAATACATGTATGCAACTCTATGGAAACTCATATATACTTATATATACAATCTTTCAATTCAGTTCATTACACAACCTTAGAGTACACGGCTTCACAACTCAAGCCGGTCCAGACTCTCTTCCCTTGGCCTGATCACTTCCTGGTCCTGTAAACATGTAACCACGGGGGTGAGCTAAAAATCTTAGTAACAGAATAATTGACTCATATTGATTATCACATGCAACAATATGAAAGTAAACATAGTATACCATTAAAACCTCATAAAGTAGTATTTACATCATATCACATTTCATTATCTACTTTTTCATTAATCCCAAAGGAGTTCGTGTTATTTCAAGATATTTTATCATATCACATAAAATACTAGCATGATCTCTACCAACCAAACCTCCAAATCACCCCGACACGAAATCATAAGCTCATCTCAGACCAATGTTCACTTTTACCAATTTTAAGCTCACATGTAGTGGTAGAATCACCCGGCCAAAGATGTTCTAACACACAATACAGACTATGGTTTTCCCGCAATACACATAATGTGGTGTCATTGATTCCAACCCGTATCACAAAGATACTAAGAAATCTCTCATCTCTAACACAGTACCTTAATAGGCACTCAGGAGATCTTCTCTAACATAACACCTTTCAAGGCACTAAGGAGAATTGTTTCCAACGCCGCACCCTAACCGCGCACTAAGGAAACCTTGCCATATGGTCTTTATCATCTCCTATACTCTTCGGTGAACTCCCACCACTCAAATCATGCTTTCTCAAACTATTTAAGTTTCTCTTTTCATAATTTACTTTTCTTATATGTAACACACACACACACACACACACACACACACACACACATATAACACTTTTACATTACAAAATAGAATTTAAATGCTCATTTTAATCAAAAATTATTTTACACACACAATCACTCATGCCACAAAACATGCTCAATTTAAAATTAGTTCATGCATTACATAGCATACTATTATGTAGTTACAATAAACAATCAGATAGAGAAAGTTATTCGATTACCTTAACCCTTCTGTTAGAAAAAAGGTTACCCATGAATTTCAACTACCACTTAAACTTATCTTAAGCTTCCTTTATCTGCTAACATGTCCAATATGCCAATTTGAATACATTTGGCACATTTTAGTGAATTGGTCTATTTTGACCAAAAACTCATTTTTACTATTTAGGGCTATATTCATCCCTAAACTCTTTTCCATTTATCCATTCTAAGTCCATAACTATCCAATTACTACTTTACATCACCTCCACCGATCTTATTTTACTCAGATCAAATTTTGCCCTAACATTCTCTCTCCAAAGGCTAAAATTGAGCCTCCGAGTTTAAAGCTCTACCGTTCAACTCTAAACCAGTCACAAAGCTTTAATCTAACTTCCAAGAACATTTTTATTACTATTAGGCAAGAATCAAACCCCTCAAATTCCTCC